TAACAGCCGTTGTCCTGCTAGATATGAGTAAAGCTTTCGACAGTATAGATCACAACATTCTCCTGTTGAAATTACAAGATGTTGGCGTATCACCTGCTGCCCTAAACTGGTTTTCGAGCTATTTATCGGAAAGATTCCAGGTCGTGCGTATCAATACCGTTCTATCCGACAAACTACCTGTGAACAGTGGTGTCCCACAAGGCAGCATTCTTGGACCGATCCTCTTTAATATCTATGTTAACGAACTACCAACAATTCCTCAGAGCAGTTTATCCAAGATGTACGTTGACGATAATAAACTATCACTTACTTTTCCTGTCCAACAATGTGCCTCAGCAATAACAGAGATGAATAAAGATCTGTGCAGGATTCGTGACTGGTGTTTTGACAACCACCTCCTTCTCAACGCATCCAAGACAAAGCTTATGGTTTTTGGTAGTCGCCAAATGATCTCGAAAGTCCCTGACTTCCGTCTGTCATTACTAGGTAAGGAACTTATTCCAGTCCAAACAGCGAAAGATCTCGGAGTTACATTTGATTCAAGCCTTTCCTTCGACTGTCATGTCGTTAAGACTGTCTCTTCTTGCATGTCCAGCTTGGCGCAGATTAACCGTGTAAAACATGTTTTAGATAAAAGTTTGCTTGTCTTGGTAATTTGAAGTTTAGTTTTCAGTAAAATGTATTATTGCTCGTCGGTATGGGCTAACACCACTGCAAATAACATCCGCAGACTTCAAGCAGTACAGAACTTTGCCGCCCGAATTATCACTAAATCAAGAAAATTTGACCACATAACACCCTTGTTGACTGAACTGCACTGGATTCCCGTTAAACTGTTCTTACTCTACCGTGACGCTGTTTTGACATTCAAATGTCTAAACGGACCGGAATAATACCGGAATCTCAACAATTTGTGAGGAGAGTCGACATCAGTGGACGTTGCACGAGGAACTCAAGTTCTTTAAACATCCCCTTTTTCAGGAGTGCAACTGGCCAACGGACATTCTATTACCGTGCTGTCTCCTTATGGAACGAACTTCCAGAGAACATTAAATGTAGTTTATCAGTTAACATTTTTAAACATAAATTACGTAAATATCTTTTAGGAAATCATTCATAGTAGCATTTGGCCTTTAACAATTTTTACATCCATACCAGTAATTAGTTAGTTAGAATTTCATGTTAGTATATCTTATAATTTTTTGTAATTGTTAATTGGCTCCGAAAAGCCCCGTTGGGGAGAGTTCAATAAATTATTGTATTGTATTGTATTGTATTGTAT